GAGGAAGGAGAGGAAGAGAGGGAAGGGGAAGGGACGGGAAAAGAGAGAGGGACTGAGAGAATTCCAACTCTGTCTAATTAGAGTCCGATGGGATTCACAACCAAACCTTTCAACTGCTGTCGCGGATTTGAATGCACAAGAAGCACCAGATACTACCCAGGCATATTTGATCACTAATCTACCTCCTTCTTAAAGTTTTCCTTGTCTCTTTCCTACTAAATGTTCAAAGGGCAACGTCTGAAAAGAGCTGATCTTGATAGTTAGTAGTCACGTGGTAACTTAAGATTTGTTCCTGTAGAACGTTTTAAACGCACATCATAAGTTGTGTGCATTGTTTATGTGTATCAGCGTTGTTGTCACATACTACCTATAGTAACCTCTTGACGACAACTGACACAAATGCTATTTATCAAGTCTCTAAGAGGACACACCCTGTTTTTGATGGTACATGTACATGGTCGGTTGATAAACCTGAAGTAGGTATAGGTGATAAAGGGTCTCTACATTGTCCGTGTGTCAAAGACCTTCACACACACACAAATTTTGCACTAGCACCTCTACAAGAGCTCAAAATAAAATGTTTGACTATTGTTTACATTTGAGACTACTGTAAGTTGAAGCCAGCCATACCTGTAGGCTATATACTATTATTAGATAGGTTGGCGTTGGGCGGTGTGATAATTAGGCTAGAGAGCATTATAGTGCATACACTCGGCTCGGTTGGACTCGCCTCCAAGAGAGGTGCAGTTTTCTTAAAACTTTCCTAAAAGTTTATCACATCTGATTTGGGTAAAGCAAAATGCGCGAGTGTGTGTCCTTACATATTGGGCAGGCTGGTGTACAGATTGGTAACGCCTGTTGGGAGTTGTTCTGCCTGGAACATGGCATACAGCCTGACGGTTTGAAGCCCAGCGACAAGTCCATCGACTCTGGTGACGTCTCTTTCCGTGACACGTTTTTCGCGGAGACGGAAGGAGGCAAGTGTGTTCCATTGGCTACTTTCGTCGACCTGGAACCTACAGTGATCGATGAAATACAAAGCGGGCCATACAAGTCTCTGTTCCGTCCTGAACAGATGATTTCTGGCAAGGAAGACGCTGCAAACAACTACGCAAGGGGATATTACACCACCGGAAAGGAGATCATAGACGAAACTTTGGATCGAATCCGTAAATTGGTGGGTGTATTTGTTAGAGAGGAAAAAGTTCGCAAATAACAGTGCACATGCCTAGTGTCAAAGGTGAAAGCCCAAGAGAATAAAAAAAGAACGCTGAAAAGATTTGGATTTCTATGTTTTTATTTTGTATTTCTGCGTTTTGAACGATGTGGGCGGGTTTTGATATCCTCTGCCGCGTTTACCTCTCGGTAGCCTTCACCTTTGACACTGATCGTATACACACTTTTTTGCGAACCTCCTTATTGAAAATAACTCTCTTACAAAGAATCAACGTAACTTCATACAACTAGTTACTGCTGAAACTTGGTGAGAAACCCTGGTCTTCAGTGGTCTGTATTTTTCAACAACGCAACAAAAACCGTGCAACTCAGACCTTATATTTTAAATCTGAATGTGCCTTAAATCGTACGTACAGGTTCACACGAAAGAAGTAAAAAGGGTACATTTACGCATGTTTTAAGGTGCGCGTAATTCCTGGACTAGTCTTTTTCTTTGGTGAGGGGGGGGAGTGCTTCTTGCAAGTTGCACGATTATCTGATTAAACGAAGATCGCACGCATTAGAAGCACCTGCCGCCAACCCGAGTATTCCATGTCATTCGAAAATCGTGCAACGTGCAGCTAAGCGCCCCCCCCCCAAAAAATCCTTTGATATGTGGGAGTAAACTCTATGCACGGAGAGATTGTTGAAAGTCTTTCTTTCCCTGGAAATTATGGTGCAATTTTAAACCTTTTTTGGGTTAGACTGTAACAGGAATAGTCAGCTTTTGAAGTTTGGTTATTTTATTAGGTGACCGGTTTCATTTGACATAAGAACTTTTAGAACTTTTAACTGTTCTACTAACCGTGCTACTGCTTTAAAGTTGACAACCTCCGTTTTACATGCATGGTTGTGAACTGGGGGAGCAGGGTTTTTAAAAGCGTGAAATGCAGGTTTTGTATTTTTTTCTAAACTACGATTAGAGGCATTGTGCCATCGTTGTTTAATATCATGGTCTTTATTACCTCCATAAAAAATGGAGGTATTGTTTTTGGCGTGTCTGTCTGTGTGTGTGTGTGTCTGTGTGTGTTTCCGCAACTTTGTGGTCATCATAACTTCAGAACGCCTTTATGGATTATGATGATATTTGGTATGTTGGTAAGTCTTAGGAAGACAAAGGTCAAGGTTAAATATGGGTTTCCTGGTGGATGACCTTGGTACTGCAGCAGAACTTCCGGTTTTTGTATCTTTTGTCCTGAACATGATATGGTCTTGACTTTTTGGTGACAGATAGCTTTTTCTGTCAGAAATAAGTGGCATGGGTTTGGCCCCCCTACCAGCTACCAGGGGACTTTCGGGCGAAATCTTTAAAAGCCAATGAGTCCAGATAGGAACAACATATTTTCATCATTTTCGGTAGGTAGGTAGCTGAGAGAGAGATGTACACAATTAAATGCAAATTATGCAAATGAGGACCTAATTGCATAATCAATGAGGAAATTCTATAATTACATTATAGTACTTTCATACATGTAATATATGTAATCTATGGCAGATTGAACGTCAACAGATACCAATTATGCAAAAGATGACCTAATTTGCATAATTATTGCGAAAATTATATGATTTCTTAATGTTGAATGATGGCAATTCTGTACCTTGTGACATATGTAGGTTACTTAAATGTTAACAACACTATGCATATATGTTAATATAGAGGCAATTTGCATTATTAATGAGGAAGTTTAAATGAGGATGTTTAAGTGAAGTATTGCCAAAGGATAGGAGTTTGACACGCAAAATATTGTAAGTTGAGTTTAGAACACCATAAATTAAACTACATTATATCAATTGCCACCTTATTTCCATATTCAATGAAACAAAACATTTATATAAACTCTACATATTTCATGGAGGTATGAAATCTCAGAATTCTTGTTTGCCAGAGTTGACATTGACTGTGTGTTTCCACCAGACGGAGAGATGCTCATGTCTCCAGGGCTTCCTAGTTCATCACAGCTTCGGTGGTGGGACGGGGTCAGGGTTCACCGCCCTGCTGATGGAGATCCTATCTTCAGAGTACGGCAAGAAGCCCAAACTACAGCTGTCCATCTATCCATCTCCCACAGTGAGTTCCAACCGCTCACAAATGTTATGTTACTTTGTTAGAAATTACAATAGTTGTACTGCAGCGATTATGAATAAGACTTCATAGTAAAATGTATGTAGACAGGTCCACCTTACCTCCTTGAAAAAATGGAGGTATTGTTTTTGGTGTGTGTGTGTGTAGCACCAAAGGCTAACCCTTTTTTGAACTTGACCTGCATTTCCACAACAGCTACCACCCACAAATATTGGAGTCATAACGTTGACCGCTGCCACACCAGGGCCAAACTGAGTACATACCAAGGACATTATCCTTGATACATACCCTTCTGACGAAAACAAGGATCATTTACTTTACTTCGTTTATTCCCGTGCTTTCTGACGATGTCTTATTTTGCCATGCATGAGTGTTTATCAAATCTGTTCCTTCCCACTGTAGATGTCCACCGCAGTGGTTGAGCCGTATAACTCCATCCTGCTCACTCACACCACCCTGGAACACGCCGATTGCTCCTTCATGGTCGACAACGAGGCGCTGTACGACATCTGCTGCCGCGGGCTTGACGTTGAGCGTCCCACCTACACCACCCTCAACCGTATGATAGGGCAGGTCATCTCGTCCATCACCGCCTCTATGCGGTTTGAAGGCTCACTGGATGTGGATCTGACCAAGTTCCTGACCAACTTGGTGCCGTATCCCCGCACCCACTTTCCCCTGTCCACCTATGCCCTCTTCACCTCTACGGAGAAGTCCTATTATGAGAATCTGTCAGTCGGAGAGATCACTGACAGTTGCTTCGAACCAGGCAACCAGATGGTGAAGTGCGACCCTCTGAAAGGTTAGTACCAGATTGTAGAATGATTGGCTATCGTTGTAAAACTCTTGGATCTTATATATATATTGTGGTAGTGGCAAAAAGTACAACCTCCAAGTATAGGGCCCTTTTCCTTGGTCCTTTTGCATTAGTTTGAGCTCGAGAGTCTCCAAAGAATTTTATTCATAAAATTCAGTCAGTGTGACTTAAAATATCAAAATGTCACCACAATCCTCGAAGATCTTTGAAGTTATCCTGGAAGCATGATTGGTTTAGACAGGTTCCACTTACTGTGTGCCTAATGTAACGATTATGTTTTAAAAGGGAAGTTCGTGGCATGCTGCCTGTTGTACCGTGGTGACGTCGTACCCATGGACGTGAATGTTGCCATCGCAAAGCTCAAGACCAGGCAGTCAATTCAGTTTGTTGACTGGTGCCCGACAGGCTTCAAGGTATCTGTGAACATTAAAATTATCTATTTGACGAAACTCAACTGTGTGGTAGCCCCTAACAAGCTGTTCTAAAGAAATGTTAATAGGAAACCTTAACTGTAATCTTTTTCAGGCAGCGTAGTTTGTCTGTTACGAGCGTATAGATTACTTATTTGTTGAGTTTTATTTTTATTTTTTTTAATTATGTAAATTTCCCCTTAGGTTAGGTTAAACTACCTTCTTTTTTCATCTTTAACTATCAGGTGCTTGCCCTATAACTAGTTTGCATCTAAAGTTTATTTGTAATTGTGACACTATTTGTAATTATGTGTAACTATTTCGACAATCACAATATTCTAGAAACCCTAAATTTAGACAAACTGCAACTGTTTCTCAATCAAACCCTTGCACGCAAAACATTTATAGGTTGGAATCAACAACCATTCACCTACTGCGGTGCCTGGTGGAGAGATACCAAAGGTGCAGCGGACCGTGTGCATGTTGAGCAACACCACCGCCATTGCCGAGGCCTGGGCCCGTCTGGACCACAAGTTTGACCTGATCTACGCCAAGCGCGCCTTCGTGCACTGGTAAGATATTGCTAAGATAACCTTTTCAGTAGCCTTGCTGTTGATATAGGCATATTTATATGAAGGGGACATGTTTACCGGGACATGTAATATGTAAACTGGTCTATGAACTATCTTCAACAACGGAAAACATTATACTAAGAATATGTGTTGCTCAATCATACTCAATTTCCACAAACTATTATTGAGAAAACAAAAAACAGTTACTCGGGCAACGGGATATGATGTTTGGCAAACCATATCCAGTTGTTTGAGTAACTGCTTTTTGGCGTATCGTATTACCTGTATGTCTAACCTTCGTCGACGTATTGGTGTGACAAGTAATTCATTTTCTACATTTTTTATTACTGACTTACTTGACCTAAGTCGGGTGTCAGTCCTCCTCTGCCAGCCGGCCTCCTTCCCCTATGTGCTGGGGACCACAGCACAAGGTTAGAGGCTATTTCCCTGCAGTTCCTCAGTGAATGACCGTCAATTTTTGATTAGGCATATGGTTACCGTTTCTTTGTGTCTTTTAAGTTCAGTTTGACCTTTAGCCACCTGTACTCTTGACAGGTACGTGGGTGAGGGTATGGAGGAAGGGGAGTTCTCCGAGGCAAGAGAAGACTTGGCGGCCCTTGAGAAGGATTATGAAGAGGTTGGTCGCGACAACAGTGACGAAGAAAGCGACGGAAGCGAGGAACACTAGTCAGTGCAATGACCGTACAGCCATCGCACTATATTTAAAAGAAAGGCGCAGATATTGCACTAAACCACTAAAACGTTTATCTATTCATCAGCAAGTGTACTTGTTTCAGAACTTTTGATTTGCTAGACTATTACTGGTTTTGTTACATGCTAGATTTAACAAAGTATATTAATTTAGTTTAGTACGTACTAATACCTACATGTACCAAAGAAAAAAATAACAACAAACGAACACACAATTCAAAAGGAATGTGCATTTACCTAGCTACACGCATATACGTACGATAGTCGAATGGCATCACAATTAATTAAGTAAAGGACGTGTAATTGGGATTCTTTAGATGATTAGAATTGCCATTTACGGTTAGTTCAATTACTTTTGTGCTAAGTCATATTCTGTTTCAACTGCAAAAAAAGGAACACACAACATAACAAGGTCAATCCAGAAACGCCTCTGCTACTATTTATATTTCAATATTATAGCTTATAGTTTATTTTTTTTTCATTATTCTTGTGCTACCTGTCTACCTAGTCCCTTCACCTCCTGCTAGTAAGTAGAGGGGAGGGGGGGTAGGAGGGCGAAATCACGGGAGTACTATTGTCACATGAAATTCCTGGGACACCGGCAATCTTTACTTTTGTTTTGTACAATGGTTTGTCTTTAAGCTTTGACGTTCTGTATAGTACAGTCCCATAATAACTGTGCACGTTGTGCTTAAACAGATCGTATACCCTACCAATCGGCTTTTAATGGTTACATTGACGAAAAAAAAAGAAGATTATGATCACCCGTATATATTAGAAAAGCGTTTGAATTATTTTAAGTTAATATGCCATATACGACAATATTCCTGCAGTCATAGTTTTGAAATAGACCGGTATTATAGTATTGATCGCTTTGTCATTGTTACCATACATTGTATTCTATACAACTGTCAAGCAATAAAGTTCATTCATTCATTTATTTCACAAAAGGTTTAAGGAAGCAAGTCTTGATATAAATGTTAGAGAATAGTTAACCTTTATTGTTACATCATACATTTACTCTGTACGTAAGATGACGTTATCCACACATGTATTTAGCTTTGTTAGATCTTTAGTTAAGTTGTAGAAGACCATACAAAAGTCTCTGTACTTTTTTGTTGTGTCAATAAAGAATCTCTATAAAGCAAACATGGGGACATGGCAAACAACGAAGTTTTAAGTCGCAAAAAAAACTACAAATGCAGGCCCACAAGAAATAATACTAGTAATACGGGATAAAGTTATCACTGATAATGTTGAGATGTGTAACGAGTTCAACAAGTTCTTTGTCAAAATTGGCACTATATTAGCAAATAAGGACAAAATAAGTTGGAAAAATTATAATTAGAATAGATTTTACGTTAATCAAACATGCCGGCCGGGCCTCGGTTTGGACATGTGACCTCAGCATTATACAACTAGTAGACAGAATATCCACAGCCACTGACAAAAATTAATGCACAATAGGAATATTTTTACACTTATTAAAAGCATTCGACACAGTAAACAACACCATACTCCTCCGGAAATTAGCAGCTTACGCTGTTACTTGCAGTGCATTAAATTGGCTTCGAAATTATTGGAATAAAAGGAGACAATACGTGACTCTAGTCTACACACAGGGAAATTCAATTTGGAGTACCACTGGGATCAATTTTAGGTCCTCTATTCTTCTTTTAAGCCTAGGCCTTGGATTTGGGAGAACGCACGACACGTCGTAGCACTTTAAGTGCGTGTAAAACTTTCTCTGCGTGCGGGCTGCGGATTTAGACCCGTACTGTCGTGCGTTACGTACCGTACGTAATGCTACGGTCACAACCCGCCGGACGTGCTTCTGCGTGCTGTCTACGTGCAAAAACGTGGGCAAACGTAGGGCATCCGTGCGCGGTGAGTACCGCCTCCGTACGGAATCCTACGGATTTGGGAGCACGCAGACATGCCGTAGAACTTTAAGTGCATGTAAAACTTTTTCTACATGCGGTCTGCGGATTCACCACCCGTGCGTGCGAGTACGAGCGACGCGCGTGCCCCGTACGTGCCGTGTGGAAGAAGCACGTGTGAGTACGGCCTCCTTGCGGTTAAGTTGCAATCGCACAGAGATCGTACGTTGTAAGCACGTACAACTCACTTACCACTTGCGCAACGTACGATGCACGTAACCGCTCACTTGGCGTGCAGACCACACTCCTACACTTTGCGCAACCGTGCGAGTGACGTGCGTAGACGCCACTCGTTCCCCACATTTTCAGAAAAAAAAACGCAGAAGACGTAGCCTCCCAAAAAACGTATTGAGAAAAGCACGTACGGCGGGCTGTGACCGATGCTTAAGCAGCACGTGTAAGAGTTTATCCTGCTAAAAACAACGATTTGCGATTTGGCTATAACCCCGTTTAACCCTTACTCAATTCGTTGTGAACAGTACTTGTGAAAATGAACACGTCTAAACTCGCAGGATGCAAGATGTATCACAATCACTTCTGGATGCAATGAACTGTAACTTGTTTGTTTACTTTTAGCAGGCATAACTGAACTATGAACTTCCACATCTGACATGTGGCTTGTGCATCAAAAATGGCTACCCTGTTTGTTTACATTATATGGTAAGGATACTATTGAACTTTGAACTTCCACCGATATGACACGTAATGCCAGTCTTAAGAACGATAAACATGACATCCTGAGTGTTGTAGCCGCAAATTTAACACTATCTTTGATTAAACAACTTTCTGTTCAGTCAGGTCTGCAACTTTATTTCCTTATAAAATATCTAGGAGCCACGGCTGTACGATGTCGCATGCCTACAGGATCTGGTCTCATTATTTAAGGGTCATCTACGTGCTACATGAACTATGCTATTCTTTTCCAGGCATCAAAGGAAGCTGGAAATAAGAAAGATTGGCCAAAAAGACAGACAAAGTGCCATGGGAAATGGTCCTCTAAAGAAGTACAAACAGAGTGATATACTGTACTTTTTTAGCGCTAGTGGCCTAACACCCCTGGAAAGTAACCTTTTTAGCCAATCTAAACATGGCTAAACGCACTATGCCTTCTGATAAAAACGAGGGTTTTTCAAACTTAGATATCTCACAGGCAATAAACAGTAAATGTAAAATAAGCTGCATTTTGTAAAATTGTGTGCATTTCACTCATTAAAGAGAAATATTGTCACAAGGTACTATCTTAGTCAGAAACAAACCCTTTTTTATACCAGTCCCTTAGGGCACACCCAGTTTGTGATGGTATAATGGGCGCACTGCCAAGCCGCGGGTAGGTAGAGATAATATCGGGTGTTAACGTTCTGTGTACTAATGACCTTTATGAAAACAAGTTTACGTTGGAAGGCCTACAATTAGGAAACAGACTCATTTGATTTATGATTAACTATTGATTTGAAACGATTGATTTGAAACATTTGAATTTTTCAATCACGGTTATTTAGGTTATAGTTCTGTATATTTCTTACATCTGGGAATGTATGAGTTGAAGTCAACCATGGCTTTAGGCTAGATATTACCATTTTTAGCTTGACAGCTAGTGAGAGTAATTATTTTAGGTCAGAAAGCATTACACTGCTTTTCTTTGGATAGTGTGAGTGATATTTTTTTACCATTTTGTTAATCATCTCACCGCTGATTTTGGTACAAAATGCGCGAGTGTGTGTCATTGCACATTGGACAGGCAGGTGTACAGATTATACCCTCATTCCACTGAGACGGTGCTTTCTCCGCGACCTCAAAGATCCTCAAATTGGCCAGAGCGCGGAGAGAGTGCCAAGGTCACCATGGGGGCTCGATGAGCGATGGTAAGGAACCGCGTTATACCATCGCCGTAAGAGCGCCGTGGACGGCGATGCAACAATGAGCGCCGTGAGAGCACGAAGCGAGCGCCGTGAGCGCCCCAACATTAATTAAGATATGCCGCATTCAGGTATAGCCCTTGGCAGCGCCGTGTGGCAGGGCCGCGGAAGAGGTGTTTGTTAAGTTTAGCCCTTTGCAGCGCCGAGTGGAAGGGCCGCGGAAGAGGTGTATGTTAGGTATAGCCCTTGGCAGCGCTGTGTTGCAGAACAGCTGAAGAGGTGTATTGTAGGTATAACCCTTAACAGCGCGGTGTGGCAGGACCGCGGAAGAAATGTACGGAAGATATAGCCATTGACAGTGCTGTGTGGCAGGGCTGTGGAAGATGTAGCGCAATGTCCTTACGGGCCTTCGTAACACATAGAAACTTATCAATTGTTATCAAGAGGTCAAACACAGGTCAAGCATATTGAGTCTGGTTTTTAATCGCAGTACACTTAAATGTGTGGGTGCAAAAGGTCATGTAGACACACTCATTAAAATTCATAACTGCCTTAGGCGTACCTATATGCCATTCTGCCGTAACAGAGAGATATTTTTTCTCAGGGACTTGTTAAACAGGTTCGTACTAGCCCTCACTAAGTTAGGGAGTTAATGACCACTTCAAACAAGAACCAGTGAAATGCGCACATCTTATTATTATGAAATATCAGCTTTAGCCAAAAAAGTAAAATAACTCAAAAGTGGACACGTGAATACTGAGTTGTAAAGCTTTTACCATTGCCTTCCAAAACTCAAAGAACTGTGACCAACTCTTGCCAGACGACATCTCTTTCAAAGTTTGCGATAGGTATTTGCAATAAAACGGGGTTAAGGAAGGATGTAGTATATATTGCGTTTTCCCTTGTGGTTGTCATCTCCTGTCTTCCCCTGTCATGGTTGATACCCTGAAATGTATACGTAGCCAGTAATAGTAGCTGAAAACGCCGCCCCCGGGTGAAGGAGGGGAAGGGAGGATAGGGGAATGGAGGGGGAAAGATGGGAGGTGAGGGGGAGGGAAATGGAGGGGGGAGAGGGGAGGAGAGGGAAGGAAAGGAAGATAGGGAGGGAAAGGAAGGGGGAAAGGAAAGGGAATGAGGGGAGGGGAGTGAGGGGAAGGGACGGGACGGGAAAAGAGAGAGGGGCTGAGAGAAAGAGACAGAGAGTGAGGAAGCAGAGATCTACGGGTAAACTTTTAGCTCTCTTTGATATGCCCTGCTAAAAGTTAGATTCCAACCCTGTCTAATTAGAGTCCGATGGGATTTACGACCAAACTTTTCAACTGCTGTCGCGGATTTCATTGCACAAGAAGCACCAGAAACTACCCACGGATGTTTTATCACCATTCTACCTCCTTCTCAAAGTTTTGCTTGTTTCTTTCCTACTAAATGTTCAAAGGGGCAACGTCTGAAAAGAGCTAATCTTGATAGTCACGTGTTAAGAGCTGTTCCTTGAGAACTTTCTAAACGCATAAGTTGTGCGCATTGTTTATGAGTCTCAGCGTTTTGTCACAGACTACCTATAGTAACCTCTTCAGGACTGACACAAATACTGTTTATCAAGTCTCTAACAGTACACACCCTTTTTTGATGGTACATGGTCGGTTGATACTCCTGACGTAGGTATAAGTGAAAAAAAGGTTTCTACATTGACCTTCACACACACAACATTTTCGCAATAACACCTCTACAAGAGTTCAAAATAAAATGTTAGAGTATTGTTTACATTTGAGACTGCTATAAGTTGAAGCCAGTCATACCTGTAGGCTATAAAGTATTATTAGATAGCTAGGTGGGCGTTGGGCGGCGTGATAATTAGGCTAGAGAGCATTATAGTGCATACACTCGTCTCGGTTGGACTCGCCTCCAAGAGAGGTGCAGTTTTCTAAAAACTTTCCTAAAAGTTTATCACATCTGATTTGGGTAAAGCAAAATGCGCGAGTGTGTGTCCTTACATATTGGGCAGGCTGGTGTACAGATCGGAAACGCCTGTTGGGAGTTGTTCTGCCTGGAACATGGCATACAGCCTGACGGTTTGAAGCCCAGCGACAAGTCCATCGACTCTGGTGACGTCTCTTTCCTTGACACGTTTTTCGCGGAGACGGAGGGAGGCAAGTGTGTTCCATTGGCTACTTTCGTCGACTTGGAACCCACTGTGATCGATGAAATCAGGAGCGGGCCATACAAGTCTCTGTTCCGTCCTGAACAGATGATTTCTGGCAAGGAAGACGCTGCAAATATCTACGCAAGGGGATTTTACACCGTAGGGAAGGAGATCATTAACAAAACGTTGGATCGAATCCGTAAAGTGGTGGGTGTATTTGTTACACTAAGAGGTCCACAAGTAAAAGTGCACAAATAAAAGTGCCCAGTCCAAAAGTAAAGGCAACCGAGAGGTAAATTGGACACGCCAAATTTTAGCATTTCGTTGGATTACTCAGAACTCCAAACCGTGCAGCTCAAAATAGGAATTTACCATGAAATTTTCTGTTATATTATATTATATTATATTATATTATATACTTCTATCGAATCGACGTTTAGTATCAATCGCGTCACCGGAAGTAATCCTATCTAAGTGCGTCTTTTAAAAATCGCGTGTTCAAGGTCCTTACACGTTTTAAAAAACGCAATATTTACACATGTTTTAAACTACGTAATGAGAACGGATTTTCTTAAATGCGTTTCTTGAAAGGGAAGTTCTTATCGCTATAAACGCTCATTTATGCGCCCATCCACCTCACCTTGTTGGTCGGGATTTTTAGTACCCACTCGGAATTATACGGTAGAGTCTAATCTTTCTAAATTGGTCATTTTTCCCCAGTTTACCAGTTTCGTATGACATTTATATATATATATAAGTGTAGATTTGTATGAACTAGTATTATAGCAAAGATTATATAATAGGTTTTGTTTGGAACTTTTGTGTTCAATTGCCAGTATAATCTGCTTTTTATATGCATGGATATTATTACCTAGACACTTGAGAATTTCTGGTTGAGCAGGGTTTTTAAAAGAGTAAAAAGGGTTTAATTTTAAAAGAGGCATTGTGCCATAATAACATTTGTGTCTCCATTGGCCAGGATTAGCAATATCTGCCCTGTATGTTTCCACCAGACGGAGTGTTGTTCAAGTCTCCAGGGTTTCCTGATTCAACACAGCTTTGGTGGCGGAACAGGGTCAGGGTTCACCGCGCTGCTGATGCAGAGGCTATCTGCGGAGTACGGCAAGAAGTCAAAACTACAGTTTTCCATCTATCCGTTTCCCCTAGTGAGTTACTGCTAATGTGACAAAGTTCAAGCTAGGCTACCTGCCTCAATGCACAATGCATTTTCGCATGCATGCACAACATTAGGCATCTGAACAGGTCAAAAGGTGAGGTTTTCTGCATAACAACATAAATGGAGCTTTTAAACACCCTTTCTTTGACTTCTAGCGTAACCTACCGTGTAGCCTTCATGATATGCAGAACGTCAACTAATAACTTTAAAGCTTTATTGTGCTTTGACACTAGGACCATCGTAGACTTTATATGTACACGTAGCAAATTGGTAAGCGCTCCGATTCTGTACTTCTGTTGAGCTCTTTCTTGTACATGCATCCGGGTTTATGAAATTTACTCCTTCGCGCTGTAGATGTCCTCAGCAGTGGTTGAGCCGTATAACGCCGTCTTGTGCACTCACGCCACGATGGAACACTCCGGTTGTACTTTCCTGCTAGATAACGAGGCCCTGTACGACATCTGCTGCCGCGGGCTTGACGTTGAGCGTCCCACCTACACCACCCTCAACCGTATGATAGGGCAGGTCATCTCGTCCATCACCGCTCCCATGCGGTTTGAAGGCTCACTGGACGTGGATCTGACCAAGTTCCTGACCACTGACTTTGTGCCGTATCCCCGCATCCACTTTCCCCTGTCCACCTATGCCCCCTTCACCTCTACGGAGAAGTCTTATTATGAGTCAGTTGGAGAGATCACTGACAGTTGCTTCGAACCAGGCAACCAGATGGTAAAGTGCGACCCTCGAAAAGGTTAGTACCAGAATGTAGAATGATTGACTATCGGCGTAAAACTCTTAGATCTAAGATATATTGTGGTAGTGGCAAATAGTACAACCGCCAAGTATATGACCCTTTTAAGTCCTTTTGCATTAGTTTGAGGGTCTACAAAGAATTTTATCCATAAAATTCAGTCAGTGTGGCCTAAAATATCAAAATATCACCACAATCCTCTAAGATCTTTGAAGTCATCCTAAAAACATGATTGGTTTAGACAGGTTCCACTTACTGTGTGCCTAATGTAACGACATTCTATTTTAAAGGGAAGTTCGTGGCGTGCTGTTATCTGTTGTACCGTGGTGGCGTCAACGCGAATGATGCCATCGCAAGGCTCAAGGCCAATAAGAATATCCAGTTTGTTGACTGGTGCCCGACAGGCTTCAAGGTATCTGTGAACATTAAAATTATTCATTTGACGAAACTCAACTGTTTGGTAGCCCCCAACAAGTTGTTCTAAAGAAATGATAATAGGAAACCTTAACTGTAACATTTTTCAGGCAGCGTAGTTTGTCTGCTGGTACGAGCGTAAACATTACTTATTTGTTGAGTTTTAATTTTTTTTGAAATTATGTAAATTAAGTTTGGTTAAACTAATATTTCTAGGCCTTATACCTTCTTTTTTCATCTTTAACTATTAAGTTCTTGCCCTATAGCTAGTTTGCGGACTTTTGCATCTTAAGTTTATTTGTGTAAACTATTTCGACAGTCACAATAGTCTAGAAAGCCTAAATTTAGACAACCTGCAACTGTGTCTCAATCCAACCCTTGCACGCAATACATTTATAGGTTGGAACCGACTACCGTTCACCGATTGCAGTGCCTGGTGGAGATATGCCAAAGGTTCGGCGGGCTGTCTGCATGTTGAGCAATACTACCGCCATTGCCGAGGCCTGGACCCGTCTGGACCACAAGTTTAACCTAATGTGGGCCAAGCGTGCCTTCGTTCACTGGTAAAATATTGTTAAGATAACCTTTCCAGTAGCTTACTGTTGATAGAGGCATATTTAAAGGTACGTGTTTACCTCTTAGCCTTTTTCAGTTGATTTACTTAGAAAATATTACTCACTTAAAATCTATTCTTTGAAATATTTTGTAATATGTAAACTGGCCTTAGTACGAACTATTTTCAACAACGAAAAAAATTGTACTAAAAATATGTGTTGGTCAATCATACTCAATTTCCACAAACTATTATTGTAACAACAAAAAGCACTCAGGCAACGGGATATGATGTTTGGCAAACCATATCCAGTTGTTTGAGTAACTGCTTTTTGGCGTATCTTATTACTCTATGTCTAACAGCCTTCATCGACGTATTGATGAGACAATTCATTTATTTTCTACATTTTTGATTAAGCCTATGATTACTGTTTTTTGTGTCCTTTTAGTTCAGTTTGACCTTTAGCCACCTGTACCCTTGACAGGTACCTGGCGGACGGTATGGAGAACTGGGAGTTCTCCGAGGCAAGAGAAGACCTGGCGACCCTTGAGAAGGATTATGAAGAGCTTGGTCGCGACAAAAGTGACGACGGGAGCGATGGAAGCGAGGAAAACTAGTCAGTACAATCTGACAGTAAAGCCATCGCACTGTATTTAAAAAAAAAGTAAAGCGCAGATATTGCATCGAACGACTAAAACTTTATCTATATTAATCAGCAAGTGTACTTGCTTCAGAACTATTGATTTGCTAGACTATTACTGATTTTGTTACATGCTAGATTTTAACAAAGTCGATTAATTGTTCGTGCTTGGTGATCTTGTACATACTAATACAGGGTCAATCCAGAAACGCCTCTGCTACTATTTATATTTCAATATTATAGCTTATAGTTTATTTGTTTCATTATTCTTGTGCTACCTGTCTACCTAGTCCCTTCACCTCCTGGTAGTAAGTGGGGGGGGGGGGGTAGGAGGGCGAAATCACGGGTGTACTAGTGTCACATGAAATTCCTGGGACACCGGCAATCTTTACTTTTGTTTTGTACAATGGTTTGTCTTTAAGCTTTGACGTTCTGTATAGTACAGTCCCATACTAACGATAGTAATAACTGTGCACGTTGTGCTTAAACAGATCGTATACCCTACCAATCGGCTTTTGATGGTTACATTGACGAAAAATAATGAAGATTATGATCACCCGTATATCTTAGAAAAGCGTTTAAATTATTTAATGTTAATATGCCATATACGACAATATTCCTGCAGTCATAGTTTTAAAATAGACCGGCATTATAGTATTGATCGCTTTGTCATTGTTACCATACATTGTATTCTATACAACTGTCAAGCAATAAAGTTCATTCATTCATTTATTTCACAAAAGGTTTAAGGAAGCAAGTCTTGATATAAAGCAAACATGGGGACATGGCAAACAACGAAGTTTTAAGTCGCAAAAAATACTACAAATGCAGGCCCACAAGAAATAATACTAGTAATACGGGATAAAGTTATCACTGATAATGTAGAGATGTGTAACGAGTTCAACAAGTTCTTTGTCAAAATTGGCACTACATTAGCAAATAAGGACAAAATAAGTTGGAAAAATTAGAATTGTTGATTTTATGTTAATCAAACATGCCGGCCGGGCCTCGGTTTGGACATGTGACCTCAGCATTTTACAACTAGTAGACAGAATATCCACAGCCACTGACAAAAATTAATGCACACTAGGAATATTTTTACACTTATCAAAAGCATTCGACACAGTAAACAACACCATACTCCCCTGGAAATGAGCAGCTCACGCTGTTACTTGCAGTGCATTAAATTGGTTTCGAAATTATTTGAATAAAAGGAAACAATACGTGACTCTAGTCTACATACAAGGAAATTCAATTTGGAGTACCACTGGGATCAATTTTAGGTCCTATATTCTTCCTGATTTACATTAATAGCACACGAATGTAACAATTGCTCCTTCTATTCTTATTACCAAGTTATTTAACTTAAGTGCATTTGGCCCGTGTAGGGCGTGAACATGCAATAAAGTTCATTGTCATTGTCATTGTCATTGTCATTAATGATCTGTCGGAAGCCTCCTTTAAGCCTAGGTCTTGGATTTGGGAGAACGCACGACACGTCGTAGCACTTTAAGGGGGCACACCCCAGTTTATTTGGCGTCTCTATTGGAGGCTGCACACCCTCAAATCTAGCGACCGTATCTGGCGTGGAATAATTCGGAATGAGAATAACTGTATATTGGACGAAAGGATATCTCTTCAGCTACAAGACCTGCTGAGTTTGGTTACTTCAACCTTTTTAAGTTTGGTAAAATCAACGGAAAAAACATTTTTTTCACTCCAAAATTAATGCCCAAAATTGCGAATTTTCGCGTAGGATAATCCCATAGAAAAAAATTTCCGGCAGAAATGACTGATGCTGGCAGAAAGACCCAAGCCTTGACTATACTCGAGTAAATTATAAAGAAAATTCTAGTACTGTAATTTTCTAAACAGTCCACGGCGCGAGGGTTGCAATGCACCCT